ACCTAAATTCTGTCCATATAGTTTGTTTCCATTCATCTAAAGCAGTTTGTGCCACAATGAAACTGGGGAAGAGACTGCAAAGTGTCCTTTGTCCCCTTGTCAATCCATCTTTCATGCATGTTAGCCCAATGAATTGTTGTTCTGGAATTTCAAAAATAACACTTGATTGTCCTAAATAATAAAAACACTGCATTACACAATATCTCAAAATGAGACGTTGATATTAATACCTTATTTTTAGCATTACATCTATTGCCTGCTCTTTTATTGTGATTCTCTCTCTCTCTCTCTCTCTCTCTCTCTCTCTCTCTCTCTCTCTCTCTCTCTCTCTCTCTCTCTCTCTCTCTCTCTCCTAGCTGCCAATGTGCTCTTGTCGGAGCAGGGCGATGTGAAACTGGCAGATTTTGGGGTGGCGGGACAGCTGACAGATACCCAGATTAAGAGAAACACATTTGTTGGCACACCTTTCTGGATGGCTCCAGAGGTCATCAAACAGTCGGCCTACGACTTCAAGGTGAGGCCAGAGTCTGTGGAGTGGGCAAAAGACACCCTGTGCCACTGCTTTGAATGAATGCTGTCTTAAGGTTTGCTTGTTGTTGTTTTCTTTCACTTTTAGGTGAAAAGATGTTCACTTTGGTAGAACATCAAGCCCACAAAGAGATAATGTTTTGTTACTGGTGGAAGCACTGATAAGTAGACAGTACTGTAAGTTTTCAGCATGGGGAGAATTATTTGATCCACATCACTTTAGTTAGGGATTTTAATTCCTTATAGTTTCCACTGTCTGTTTATGAAGTTAACACACCTTACTTACACATTTCACTCTCCCCCTCAGGCTGATATTTGGTCCCTGGGAATCACTGCCATTGAGCTGGCTAAAGGGGAACCTCCCAACTCGGACCTACACCCCATGAGGGTCCTTTTCCTCATCCCGAAAAACACTCCACCCACACTTGAGGGACCTTACAGCAAGCCCTTCAAAGAGTTTGTGGAGGCTTGTCTAAATAAAGACCCTCGATTTGTAAGTTATACACCTGCGTCCATCTGCAAGCATTGTATCAGAACTACACTGGGATCAGACATGCTTGTTTTGGGCTAAATAACATCAGACAATTGGAATCTAATCCCAGATTGGCGTTGCTGTTTAGAGTGTAAAACTTTGGTCATTTATCCTACCACATATTTTTGTTATTGGATTAGCATACCTTGTCCTTAATAGGAATTATAATTTGTGCTGTACTTTCTCAAATATTCAAGGCCAATCCAAATCACATTCTGGTTAACTCTGTAATGTGATGGTGGACTCGATACTGAAGCTTCTTGTTGCACGTTATAACTAGACGACTGATCCTATTGATATCTGCAATGTCTGCACAGAGGCCGACAGCCAAAGAGCTCCTGAAGCACAAATTCATCACACGTTACACCAAGAAGACGGCCTATCTGACAGAGCTGATCGACCGCTACCGCCGCTGGAAGTCGGAGGGGCACGGGGAGGAATCCAGCTCTGATGACTCAGATATGTGAGTCTCAAGAACACACATTCAAACCTCCAGTTATAAACTTTTCCAAAGGATCTATTCTTAGCCACTTTGTTAAATTTGTGATACTAAACTGACCCATTACAGAACTTCAGGATTATTTCTGGATGATTTTCTAGAAGAATTGGTTTCCCACCGAGTAGCATCAGCAGTGAACCTTAAGGTGTCGACTGCTGTATACAAGCTTATGACAAATGATTGTCAGCATCAGGACTGAGCACGTAGGCATGTCGCCATTTCTTCATCCTAATAGGAACAGTTAAAGAAAATACAAAAAAAGAAAAAAAAGAGGATAATATAAATGCACGTGTACACACACACACACACACACACGTATATCCACTCTCCAAATTGTCCTCATTGGAAAAAAAAATCTCTGAATGTACAAAAATGAGGTCATTGGTTGATATGAATGTCGTGCCATGTTGGTGCCCGTCATGTTTTTAATTTCCCTCTTCCCTCTCTTATGCGTCTTTCCGTCCTTCCTTCAGGGATGCTGATGGTGATGTGGATACGTGTCCCATGTGGACCTTCCCCACAGTCAGACCAACCTCTTTGAACAAGTTACAGAAGGGCTACACACACACAGATTCAGAGGTAAGACACACAAAGCACGCAGACACAGAGACAAATGTTTTTATGTATTTTCTTTCTTACACTTTTTTTTCCCCCCATCTACCCAGTCAGGAGATTCGGTGAAAAGGCAACCCAAGTCACAATGCTTATCTGCTTTGGTAACTCCCATCTTCAGAGAGGTAGGCCCAACCGTTGGGGATGGGGATTATATAACTTTGAATAATACTATTCATTGTGGTTCTAGATAAAAGGGCAAACACGCACAATATGCGTAGCCTTTCCTAAATTGAAGGACAGTACAGACTACAGCAAAGTCACATTGTTTGCAGCGCAGTAAAAACAAAAATTTTGGTAAAGAAGGGCATCACCTCTTAAAGTTCCGGTGTGTAGGATTTAGTGGCATCGTGTGGTGTAGTTACAGATTGCAGCTCAATCGTTTCACCTTCCCATTCCAACCACGGGGGAGAAACGCACTAGCAACCCTATCTAGAGCTGTTTGTCCATTCTGAGCTACTGTAGAAACATGGCGGTTCAACATGGCAGGCTCTACGGAAGGCGACCACAGCGTCTGTGGATAAAAACGACTCATTCTAAAGTGAGGAAAACACAATTATTCTTATTGTCAGGTGATTATACACTAATAAAAACATACCTATGAATATTATATTCCATTTCTGCCAATAGATCAACCTAAATGTTACACACTGGACCTTTGAGAGGGGACAATTATCTGAACGGAAGAATTAAACCAAGAGCAGGCCGCAATCTAGAACAGTAAATCCTGTATAAAAAGTGGCTTTTAATTAATTAATCTTAATTTTTCATTCTTCACGGTTGCACCCTGGACAAAGTTGAACAAAAGTTAATTTCAAACAACTATGTGATCCCTTGTCAGTGACAGTATGTGGACATAGCACTGAGGTTCATCATGATAACAGACCTGGATCACTAACAATGTTAGTGCTTCCCCTTGTGAGTTTTGGGAAATTGATGGTTGGTTTCAAACCTCCCACTGAATAGAATATAATGGAATTACACATGACTTTTCTTTGTTTTGATACTGGCTTTATATATCAGCCATCGGCAACCCTAGACCACTAATGTTGAGTAGAAGAGAAATAGCCAGAAAAAAAGAAGAGCTCTACAAAGACGATACCAAAAACATTGAAGCTATCAGCACTGATAGAAAATAGGCGGAAGATTTCCTCCTAGTACATTAATTACATAGATATTAGATAACAATGCAAGTCTTGGCTGCGGAAGTGATATGATCTGCACTGCACTTTCTTTGTGCGTGTGAAAGTGGTCCTGGAAACTGATTTCATCACATTTATTGAGAACGCTCCTCTTGTCACTAATTTAGCATTCATTTAATCCCACAGGAGCTCTAATCTTCCTTCAGGAAACTGGTCTAGTTTTGCAAGCCTGTTCAAAACCAGGTCTTTATAATTGACTCTGCCTCACTTTTGCTTCATTGTTATACCTACTACCCCAGTAAGAATGTATAAAAGTGAATCATTATGTCTGTACAGGTCTGTCGTTTCTAGAGTAGTACGTATTAGTAAGAATACAAGAGGAAACAGCATGGGACTAATCTGGTTATTATAAAGTTAGAAACTGCTTATATTGCTGTTGAAATTTGTTTAATATTGTTTAGTTGAAGCTTCCTATTGCACAACACCCAAAATTATTCCTATTTGATTTTTGTCTACCACCAGTTGAAGGAGAAGCGGCGGGCGAGTGGCGGGGGCGTAGGAGCCATCGAGGAGTTGGAAAACGCCTTCAACCTGGCGGAAGAGTCGTGTCCGGGCATCTCCGACCGCCTTGTCACACACATGATGGAGAGAGTGTGCAGGTACCAACCAGTATCACCACTGTCAGCTGGGATGTCCTTTATGCAGCAGAAAACGCTCATTTATTTTAATTAATTGGTGTCATGTCATTCTTTCAGGTTTTCTTTAAATGGTAACACCACCCCGTCTTCGCGGTGAAAACCCAGCTGGATGTAACTTAACTCTGCCCCCTTTTCTGTCTCCCAGACCCACCCAACACCTCAGATAAGGACCACAGAAGACCCCCCTACCCCCGCACCCCTCGTATCTTTGCACCCTTCCCAGTCCCGCCCCCCTGAGAGATCTTTTAATTAGTTATAATTAAATATTTTTACAGTTTTTCTTTAAGAGCGGAGAGTATTTAAGACAAAAAAGCCATGACATTTAGAGCGTTGTGTATACCTGTTAGATTGAGAAGAAAAAAACTATAATAAAGTCTATGGAAAATGTTCTGTTGTCCTGAGTGTTTGGTGTCCTCACAAGCAGGAATGTGACATCGTAGGCACAAATAGTTATCATAGTTGTCAGTAGTCATTTTAAATTACTAGCTGGTCCATGTTGCCGATTTAAGAGCTTACTTTTTGTCTGCTTGATGCAGATAGACATTTTACAATAACACTTCAGTCTAAGGCTCCACATAATGGATTCAGTGGTTGAGTATCTATCCATATAACTATATTAATAATTAAATCTAATTCATATAATTGACATTTATGTATGTTGAACAAGTCTGTTTATTTCCTCTGTTGGTTAAAACTATGAATTACTATTTCTTCTCAAATAACAGCGTATTGTAATTATTGATGCCCTGTTAGTCAGGGCAGGTTCAATGTGGTTTTGTCTGTCAGGGGCAATTAATCTCACCGACATGGATCACATAAAGGGAGCAGGAAGTAACAGTTGTGTATGTGGAGAGTCTTCAAGCTCTTCTCAGGGTGTAACTAGATACAAATGTATTATAGGACAGTGATGAACCTTGAATAAACACTCACTGATCATTTGTTATATTAAGGTAGATAAGGAAAAAGTCTCAAATAACACAAGAGATTAATAAAGTTTAATACAATTTTTATTACAATATATGCATCAAAAACAATATTTGGTACTTTAATATTGGATAAAAACAGCACAAAGAGGAATGTCAAGAACTCTCATCTTGGCTGGTGAGGGAAACGTTGGCTACAGTGACCTTATCGGGTCACCTTTAATCCCTGTGGTCGTGGAAACCACAAAGTATTCAGCAGTTGAGACAGGTAAAAGTTTATACCTCTTAAATCTCACTGCATCAGTAAAAACACTTAACAGTTAATGCTCCCTGGCACATGACTTCACTTTATGGTGTGGAGAAGACGTGGAGTAATTACATCTAGTTGCTTGAAAGCACCAAACAAGAGGTATCGCACCTCATTTGCTCGTCCTTCATTTGTCAGGTCTACAGGAAGACTAAGAAGTCAGGGGTCACAGTTTATTAATTTCCTATCAAACTCATAAAGGAGCTAAACAACATTTGAATGGCATTGTACTTTAAAGACACTGATCTGAGAACTGCACTAATGGAAAAGATTTGGACAAGAAAGGGAGAAGCTGATCCCAACACGGCAATGGAGGGAAAATTCACCTGAAATCCTTCCAGACATGGTCGAGAGTTGCATGCAGATATGATTAACACTGATCGGGGTGGAACCTATTTAATAGGAAGCTTGGGTGGTCACTTCTGAACCGGAGAGGAATTTACGTTTTCTCTTGACAAAAAGAATAGTGAGACGATGGCGTAACAATGTTGTGATAAGCTATTTTTGCTACTAGTTTCTCGCATAGTTGACTCTCCCAATGAAGCTCTTTCACAGAGAAATGGTTAGCGTGTGCTCTGAGAGATGTTTTAGGACTAAAAGCACTGAATACAAGCAGCGATACTTTGGTTTTCTTAATAACAAAAAGGGAACCAAAAATGGAAAATTAACAGAATGTCGCAAAGGGTTTGTATTTAAGGTATGCTCCACCATTTTAAAAGATGGGTCACGTGACTTCATTTGAGTAACTGGCAAAAGTTTACTAAAAATGAAACAAAATAAAAAATGAAGAAATAGAACTGTGTGTAAATATATAGACATAACACTGTTTGAATATACTTTACTGTATGTATATTTTTTTTTAAAAAAAAAGACTCCAGAGCCTGTGTAGGATTGGAATAAAAAATAGTGGCAAGCAGTACGAGTCAATAACCAGATGGCCTTCTCTGCTATCATCCGTCAAACTCGAGCAGTGGCTCAAACACCTACAGTGGAAAAGAAAGTTACACATTGTCATTTGCAACTACAACCAAACCTGGCCTCACATAAAACTACCATCTACAGATGGATGGATATAAGTCTTATTTATGTATTGAACTTAAAAAAAATGCAGGAAATAGGGTGTCCCACTGTTCAGGAAATACTCTTGTGTGTGTGTGTGTGTGTGTGTGTGTGTGTGTGTGTCCATGGGTCTTACCATGGACTTTTCACGCATGTGGGCCTTCCTCTCCGTCTCCCTGCTTCTGCATCTGGGCCTGCATCTTGGCAATCATCTCCTGCATTCTTCTCAACTGTACGACACAGAACATCAACATTTATGACAGGGAAAAAACAACAACGGCACTGAAAACAAAAACAGGGCACATTCTCCTTAGACAGCTGAGATTTTGAAGCGATATCGGTTTTAGTTTAGTTTATTTATAGATTTCCCTCGTCCTTCACTCTAAATGTATTATCATTAATACCCATCTACCAGTTATAAATCATTGAATAGAAGCAACTGGTCCCACATTGAATACATGAACAGAACAGAAACGATTCTTATAAATGTTTAATTGTCCCCAGTATTGAAATTGTAACTTCTAGGACAGTGAAAGATCTTTAAAGGAATAGTTCAACAACGTTTTGGACACACACACACACACACACACACACACACACACACACACACACACACACACACACACACACACACACACACACACACACACACACACACACACACACACACACACACACACACACACACACACACACACACACACACACACACACACACACACACACACACACACACACACACACACACACACACACACACACACACACACACTTTTTTGCCAAGAAACGAAAAGACCAATACCACTCTCATGTCTAAACACTAACTATGAAGCTACAGCCAGCGGGCGGTTAGCTTAGCTCTGTCCTAAATAAAAGGAAAAAGCTCTGAAATAGTCTACCCTCTTCCCAGTGTATGCCAAGCTAACTGCCTGTGGACTCTGTGGCTTTGTATTTAGTGTACAGACATGAGAGTGGTATCAATCCTCTCATCTAACTCTTGGCAAAAAGCTAATAAATGTACTTACAAATGTGAAACTATTCCCGCAAGTCCCTTAATCTGGACAATCGCAAGGGACGATGTGTGAAAAATGAAATTCTTGTTAATATGCTCAAAGTAGTGTAGTGTGTGAAATATCCCACCTCAGCCTCCTTCTCCTGCAGGATTATATCCTTGTCCATTTCCTCCGGCTCCGGTCCCTTTCTGCATCAACAACACAACTACAGTTAACTTTAATGTCACTGTGCTGCAACCTCTAATATTTCTGCTAAATGTATTGCAATTAACAAAAGAATCATTAAGTTAAATGCAGTGAGTTAGATTACGCATGTAAAATCAGTTTGTGCAATGATTGACAGCATCATAGGAATGTGTGTGTGTGTGTGTGTGCGTGTGCATGCCTGAGAGTGCACACACTGTACCATTTTAAGAAGCATTAGGCAAACAGGAAAAAAAGCCACATTGAGTAAGTGAAGAAGGGGTCAGTGGGTTAGTGGAGTTTCTCTTTGCAGAAAGATAGAACAGCTCACAAGAGAAAAGTGGGCGGCTACAACAAATAACTACAAAGAGTTGAAAGCAGTAAGACTCAAGGGAGAAGCAGTGAGTGCGAGAGTCAGGGGAACAGCATTACCTCCCCCAAATAAAATTAAAAAAACGGTACCTCCAACAGTCCACTCATGGGTTTGGACAAATCAAGACCAGACAGCCATCATTGGACAGATGGCGAGGCAATGAGAAGGCAGTAAAGCCACTGCCTTATCCTGGGTTGGCTTTAGAAGAAAGTCTAAAAGATTCTTTCTGGTCTACAATGAGGGTTAAATGATGACATCCACACTATGTTAAATAACACACAGTACTCCTGTTTACAACCTCTACAGATACTCTACTTATGCCAATTTAGCGACCAACTAACCGTGTAAAACCACAACAGCTTACAGCAGGAAATTCAATTCTGCCTTGCTACCAAGACCTAACTGATGTAGTTAACATGCAGAATGATGAGTTAGAGCTACTGAACTACAGAATGATACTAGATCGACATTATACTGCATCAATGAACAGCAGAAGGATAACTGGAGGTACATGATCCATTATACAGAAATTAATCTACTAACTCAGTTTCCATATACACACACATCTGGATGTTTTATTACTGTAACATCTGTAGTGTGTGTTGTGTGCATGTGCCTGGCTGTTTTTTTTTTTTTTAACACTATTGTATTTATTATATATGATTATAGTCTAACTAAAGGTTTGCTGTTTGAGGTGGGGGGGAGGTGCAGAGAAGCAAGCTGACAGACAAGTACGTACGCAGGAGACAGAGGCAGAATGTAACCATGGGAGGACAACCTGCCACCCCGCTTGAGGCGGTCTGAACGGAAGTTCTCGTAGTGAAGGTCCTGGGTCACTTCCTGTAGATCCTGCATGTGGGTTCTGTGGGGTTGTAGAAAAGTCATCAACCAATAAATACTCCTGTACAGACAAACTGAAAACTACCTCTCAGAGGCCGAAACATGTCTGAACCACATTATACGACTAGTGTTGTTACTGTTACACCTTAACAAAAAAGCTTTTGGCTCGGGCTGAGTTGGCTCTCATTGTGTTTGAAGGCGAACCCTGGCAAGTTAACAATTTCTCCCAGCTGACTACATTTTCTTTCCAGAGCATTAGTAGAAAAACAGACAGTATATACACAGTTTGGCAAGGCGGTAACTGTCAATACCACTTTTCTCTTAACACTGAAATAGGTACGAGTGGGTTTTGGCCTCCTCTACTACTTACATCAGCATGATCCGCAGCTTGAGGAAATCGTTGTGTTCTGGATTCTCCACCTCCACCACTCCCCAAGGGTACAGGCGGCCCCTCACCTTCTTCCCCTTGGCCTCAATCTGCTGGTTGGATCCCACCACTGCAAATGGGATGCTAGCCTGGAAAAAAGGAGTGGTTTGTGCGTCTGAAGTCATGGTTCAACCACCCACATAAATAATTATGACACTTAAAACAAATCCCTAGAGTAATGGGATGATGATACAAAGCCGACTGCTTTGATCCTTGACAAATTCCCAACAACATTGACTTGTCTTTGGCAGAAAGGAATTCATATTCATTCAGGGATGAAAAGATCTGCAGGAAATAGAGAGTCCACCTTGAGGATCCTGGTCTGCTCTTTGAAGTCCTCATCTTCATCCGACTCAGCATCAGGAAGGTGGTAAATCTTGATACCATGTTCATCGATCTCATCCAGAATCTTACCAAGAAACCAAAACACAGGTTTTTATTACTATATCACATTATTATGTTGTTTTAACTGTAGTTTATCTACCTTTTTACATATTTAATCTAAAGCCCAGTTTCAATATATATGCTTTTGCTACAAACTGTACTTTCATACACTGGGTGGCTAAAGACGGGACCATGAGCACATGATAGCTGCTGTTTATTTCAGGAACTGGAAAAGATCCTGAACAATGGGTGCCTCTGTTGTTCTTACCCTGCGCTTGAGCCTCTCCCTCTCCCTGAGAGTGAGCGTGTCTGCCTTGGCAATGACAGGAACCACGTTGACCTTATTGTGAATGGCCTTCATAAACTGAACATCCAGGGGTTTCAGGCTGGTTGGACGGGAAACAGAGAGACAAAAGAATCAAGTATTTATGAAAAGAGGGCATGACAAATATGGTTAGTAAAATAAAAAAGAACTTCAGTGCAACTTTTACTAACTGTAAAGTTCTGTATGTCTGCAGGACTCACCCATGGCCGAGCGGGGAAATGAAATAAAAGCAGCAATGAACTCTATTGTCAACAATGTGTCTACGATTAAGACCGCTCTCGTCATGGAGGTAGCGTTCAAACTGGTCATCAATGTAGCTGATAATGGTGCTGAAACTGCATAAGAAAAATATACACATTAAACAAACGGCATGTTTCACATTTACTGAATACTAAAATCAAAAGCCCAGATGAAAAGTCCTTATGATTTATTTTAACTAATGATTTAAAATATTTAAACAGTTATTTTTAACTGTCTGAGGGTAGCGGCTCATCACTGTTCAAGATCACAGGACTGACATCGGGTAATTTACATTTAAAAATATCTCATCTTCTCATCAGCATACGCCCTAAAAAGATTTCATACCAGTCTTGGCTGTTGATGGCGTCTCCGTATCCTGGTGTGTCTACCACAGTGAGACGGAGCTTCACTCCTCGTTCCTCAATCTCTACTGTCGACGCCTCGATCTGAACCGTCCTTTCTATCTTTTCTGAAAGAGCATTCATAACAACATGTAAGGACACTCACCATCCATGATTTTAATTATACCTCTCTACTAAGTTAAATTTGTTAATTATGTGCTTTTATTACAGGGGTTTTCACAAAGTGCTTTACAAAAAACTTAAAACAAGGATCATTAAGTGCATGTGTGCTTTACCTGCTGCTCCAGGGATGACTCTCTCAGGGTAAAGGTCGGTGAGGAACAGGCTGTTGATCAGGGTGGATTTTCCAAGTCCAGATTCACCTTTTGACACAAGACAGAAATGAAATAATCATAATTAGAAATCAAGATCAAAATGAGAAAATGTCTAAATGTTACATAATTGCTAAAATGACTAAACCACAGTCGGGTTCTGGTTGGTGCAAATCTCTTCTAATCCAGAGTTCAGTTTCAATGAATAGAACAAAGGAGATCCTCACTGTGCGACAGGAAACAAGACATCTGCCTGTGATCCACAGCAGGCCGCGCTCTAACGGAAATACTAAATCTGACTTCAGCACCAGAACCAGGCAGATTAAACAACCCTAGTGCCTGAGGAAGGAGTGTCAAGTGTTCATAATCAGTCAGCTGGAGTCAAGAGGAAGACCACTGAATAGTTTCACTCTCACAAATATTAACAGGAAGAACCAAGAACCTGTATATGCTAAGCTAATAAAATCTCAATTGGCTGCTTTTTAAACTGACAAAAAGGGTATAATCTTGAACATACCCACAATCTTCTTCAATTAAATTTAGACTAATTACCACATACCAACAGCAGGTGCTAGGCTGCTACAAGCAAATGACAATAAGACAATAAACATCCACAGTTTAAGTGATTTAAGTTTTAAATAAAAGCTAATGGCCTGATTCCAAGCCTCGTACCAGACTAAAAATATCTTTCTACTGATTTTTGCAGACCCATTGAGCATTGTTTTAGTCAAGCAGTATGCTTCATTTCTGTCTGGGAAATCCAGAAGACTACTTCTTAAGCAACAGCAGTGAACAAGACATTTTGTAAGAAATTTAAGAAACAATGTTCCCTAAGTCTCTCGGTCACAGAGTTACAGATGCTGAGACATAAACAACCTAAAACTTGTGTGCTTTATCCAAGAATGCTTCTACTATGGTTCCCACCAGAGCTGTGACAAAAGATTTACAGAAGTCTTTCCTACATCCTAAACTGGACGTTTTCCAGAACATCTTGTGTGGAAAATCCAAATCGACATATATATACACACACACACACACACACACACACACACACACACTACAGTTTCAGGTGCATGTGGAAAGAGTTAAAAGTACCAGTGCTTAAGGGTAAGTCTAAAAAGTGATGCATACATAGGATAAATTATACATTTCCATAGTAAGGATATTATTTCTATCTGCAGGAGAACTGCAGCCATCTAAATGTGCAGAAAACCTCTGATTTATTTAAGAAACCAGGTCACACAGAAAGTTAAATAAGCACACAATGAGTATTCTTGCAGTAGAGGGACCAACAGGGCTTGTCCACTGTGTGAATCAATCCCTCGAGGCCCACTGGCTACATTCCTCTCTGGTTTATTTTAAAGCAAAAGGATGAGCAGTGTTCAGGGGAGCTTCTACCCTCCCCCCTTACCAACAAGCAGGGAGTTTCACACAGTCACAGTGCTCTCATCAAGAGTTCACACTGCTGACGCCAGCTGAGCAACCGCACTGATGTGACAGCTGCCATTTTCTACTCACCAAAAGCCTTCATGCACACTAAAATACACCTAAACAACTTTCTTTAATCTTAGCACACAAACAAAAGAAACTACAGAGGGGTGAAACTGTGCCATTATGAAAAGAAAGCATAGGACAGCAACAACTGTATGTGTATATATAGGCTAATGGCCAAAGTCCCACCATAAATTTATCACAAAAACAAACTCACATGAGCCAAAAAAATATAACACATTCCTCAAACATCAGTGTTTACTCTAGCTGTCTAGCATGAATCTTGTTATCACTGAGATACAATATCATTTTCCAAACTAAATAAAATCAGCATTGCATAGTGACAAGAAGAAAAGGACAAAAACGAGAAAAGTCGTGAAAAACAGTGATGATACACTCACCTACCACCATCAACGTAAACTCAAATCCTTTTTTTACTGACTTGCGATGAACCTGATTAGGCAGGTTGGCAAATCCAACGTACCCTGGGGTCTCAGGGTTGTTGAACTGCCCCTGCTGTAGAAAATAAATAAATAAAAAGACAGGAGAGTTATCATTTTAAAGAAAAACATGTTTGGTGACACTAAGATTCAAGATCAAAGAACGTAGCGTTGCACCTTATTATTACTTTGTCACAAATATAAATCAGGTTAAAGTTAAACGTAGTTTGGCTATAATTAGCAATAACATGACAGCCAATTATTACTGCAGGAGGAGACATCTGTTCACAAAGAGCCAGGATATTTAGGACAGTGACTCCTCTGCACTCTGTTTGCAAAAGACCTTCCACCCATCATTCCAGTGTTTATGGCCCTGTGTTTAGCTAGTCAGAGCAATGGGACAGCATTTAACCGCCTCTGTATCAATGCTAGACAACCATAAGTAGTTTCAAATCAAACACAAAAAAGGTATATGTTCCTTATTTAGTTTGCTCATTTTGTCCTCACAGCATTGTAGGATTCGTAAAGCTTCTCTTCCCCATTCTTTCAGCAAAGGTCATGACTGATAAGCCTGATAAGCAGCGTGTTCTTGCTCTGTCTTTGAGCCAACCAGCATAAAGCCACAGCAGTGAGTCATGAGGATGGTGAGCTGCACACTGAGCACAGGCCAGCATTTAACAAGTAATATAAAAAAAAAAATAGTGTGAGTAAAGAGCAGGAAGCACAGAATAGCCCATGTAAAATAATGGTAATGAGCAGTTTAAAAAGTTCAGGGCTTTTTTTTTTTAACTCAGAGAATAAGAGCATATGACACACGCAGCTTACTTTCTCATCACTATTCCAGCTCAGCTATTGGTCTCTAGAGAGACAGTCACTGAAGCGGAAGTAGGAATCTGGTATTACTGCGTACTGTACGGCTTCAGATGTAATGTCTGGTTTCAACTCACCTTCATTTTGTCAGCCTGAGACATTTTCTCTCCTTGTTGAACCTGAAAGAAAAGACCGACTGCATGCGTCACATTATACCGAGAAAACTCACAAATACAACTGTTAATGAAAATCTATTGTTTTTTTACTACAACTCTAGCCTCTGTGGACCTTTTCTGAAATGGAGGTACTTCATACAGGCACATACTTTGAGGCCTGACTGTGTGTTAGAGACAGGAAGTCTGGTTTGAGCTCAGAAAGGTTTGAGAGAGAGAACTGTGTCTCACCACAAAGAAAACGCTTTTCCTGCTTAGATAGCTGCATTACAGCGCCATGGTTGGTGGATAGCAGATTATGCTGTGCTTATACTATTAACGCCTCTAGAGCTGATATCATGTTTACCACCTGGTTGTGATTTAAATCGTTTTATTTAAACTCTCTGTCTCAAACACACCCACAGCACTCAGTGTTTGGATGAAGACGACTGTGTGTGTACAACTCAATGTGAACAATTGTGTCCAAGATAGTTTAAAAAGCTAGTTTGAGACCAGTCTTCCCCACTTAGACTAATCTTACAACCGTGTAACGTGAACTAAAACCAACATTACCAGCTCAGTTTGTCACATATTAGAAGGAATTGAAATTATTAGCTTGTTAATTAGCGGCGGCTACTTCCACAGCGGTACCGACCCAGTGGGTGTGAACTGTGCTGATGCTGACATCTGCAGAGAAAACACTTATTTTATATTCATTATTGTTCTTGAAGAGCTTTTCTAAACGAGCCCAAAATCAGAAGCTATTTACCAAGCTAACCCCCCCGGCTAGCTGTTCGTTAAAGTGGAACAGGACGAGCTTAGCATGGCGATAACTACTAAGTAGCCGAGTAGCTTCTCCTGCAGGATGTTAACTTAAACAGCTAATGTTAGCATCGACTGCAACCCCGCCATTTACACAGCGAGGGAGATGAATGAGTGATGAGTTAGACGGATGAATCAGTTACCTTACAGGGTGTCCGCAGAGAGTATAGTGCAGATATAGAGACAGAGAGACGAGCCGACGATGAGCTGCAGACTTGGCGGACACCTCAAATTCTCCAGATTCCGGTGCAGCAGCTTCCTTTAGCACACAGACCACAATGCACCGGGCGAGAGAGAGCAGCGGGGCCAACACAGCACATGGAGGCACTGAAAGTCTGAACTCACTGTATCAGCTGTTATAAGCTCATTAACACCATCTTTATCAGCAGTGAGTGATATTATAAAGGCACATATATAATGGTTTTAATCAGCAGGGGCGGATCTAGAGCCGTGGTGAAGTGGAGCCGCGTTATACTAATAATTTATGACCAAAAACTTTTCTCCTGCAAAGGATAAACATCATGTGTTATAAACAATGACAAGTAAGACTACTCTTGCATATTTAGGCTCACCCAAAAGGGGGGGGGGGCGGCTAGGGTGGCACTGGCCACCCTTGAAATCTGATTGGCCACCCCAAGTGCCACCCCATTATCCTTAGCTCTTCCAAGCTGCACTGGCTTTCAGAGGTTGTAGCGGGCTCCATTTTAAAGCTAGAGTGGTATTATATGAAATTAGAAGACCCAGCGCATCCATTGGTACCGACCATGTCTTGGTAGCATGTTGGGAATGTAAGCTAAGTAACGACCCAAAGTGAGGCTACATTTTGGTGATGGAAAAACTGGCACCTCCAGAAATCTGAATGAAAATCTTTGGGTACCCAAGAGTCTCCCCTTTACAGACGTGTCCACTTATTACTAACCTCATGCAGTTTTTTGTATGCAGTTATTTTTTCACCTAGTGTATTTGAATATTTCTGCATACCAGGGTCAATAAACAGGATTGGATTTGTTTAGTATTCCTTATGCCTTACTCCATCCATTCATGAAATCTATTTAACGCCTTCACCATCCTAGGAAACAAACTTGCAGAACACTATTAAACACTGCTGTGTGCATCAGAGGGGATTTAGAAGTGGGTATATTGCACATACCCGTATATACCCTGCACTACACCTCTGAGCTAGAGAAATATTAATGGGGTGGTCAGAGGGGGGCATGAAGACTTTTACTTGGAAAAGCCTCCAAATGAAGATATTTTAACTAAAGACATTATTGTGGCACATTAGTGAAGCATTGAATATAAATATCTAAAGGTGACATTAAAGATCAACCAAATGTTTATTTTTCCAAATACATGTCTTTCATTGAACTTCACTAACAACGAGGAAATAATAGTTTAAGACATTGAATTAAGTTCTATCTTTTAACATGTTTTTAAAATTAATCTTTATTAATGTGTTAAATTTGGAGGTAGCTGCCACCCTATTCCAGCCCTCTAGATCCAGTAGATAGCAATCCTGTGCCCCCAGAAACAAGATTATTTTGGGTATGCTGAATTATTTATATAGCCGTCTATTATACAGCCCAACTGGAGCGTTCATGAATCCTCTCATCTGTGAGACATTCTGTACAGACATTCATGGTTCCCAGGCAAGATATCCTATGTTTCTGGGGACTTATTCTGGAGATTATTGTTTGTGGTCTTCAGTGAAATATCTCGACAACTATTAAATGGATTGCCGTGAAATTTGGTTCAAACTTTTATGTTTTTTCCTCAGGATGAATTGTCACAATCACTGTGGTTACAGTGTTGGAAGAAGTACTCAGATCTTTTACTCGAGTAAAACAGTGCAGGAATACTGCAACTGCCTTTTATAACGTGCCATAGAGGAATTAAAAACATGTGTTTTCATAAAGAAGTGAGCATTAGGTACTGATAGACCCAGAACAGTAACATACATGCACAGTAAGAAAAAAGAAAACAACAATTTATCACTTAGAAGTAACTGTACATAAACATAAACATACTAATGAAGATAATGAAGAAAAATTAAGCAACCGCACACACAAACAAAAAAAGAAACTTGTCAACTGGCATTTTATAGAGGCAGAAAGAAGCAGCTGATCTGTTAGTGGTTGTTGGCGTTGAAGTTCTCCCACATAAAATGGATTAGTGGCATCTCCAAGTATTTCCCATCTTACTGCAGAAAGTCAGCCAGTCACTGATTTTCAAATGCAAATTGCATTTTTTTCCCCTTTTAATTAGATGAAACCATTATTCAAAAATAATTGTTACTTAGTGTTCCTGGCTGTTATTATATGAAGGTGGAGGTTACACTAAAGATGTGCGGAATATGTAGGAAAGTAAACCAAAGTAAACCATGACTACTTCAAGTTTTGGGAGTACAGGTAATTGTAGGCAGCAGTTTGCCCCACAGATCAACAGATAGGAAAAGAAAGGAAAACACTGTTATTAAGGCTATATACTTAAAAGCAATTAGTGAACACATTCATGATTAAAAATACATACATTCAATAAATAATACATTTTTAAACAATTACTTTATCTGATTTACAAGTCTTTGTCCAGTCTTTGAACAGCAGCAGCTCAGGTGTTTTGGGGGGGGGGAGACAAACAATGGTTAGCTGGTTTACACATGATATTATTATATTTTCATTAGATTATACTCCTTTAGGGATGTTGTATTGTATATTGTATGTTCTACACTCTTATAGTTCACTACATTTAGCTATAGTTTACATATTTGGATTCACACAAAATGGAAGTTTTACTGAAGATCTGAATATATCAGTGGTGTACATTTATTTAAGTGGTGTACGGTTACAATTTTGAGGTACTTTCCATTGTTTTGCTACTTTATGTTTTTATTGCACCACATTTCAGAGGCATACATTGTACTTTTTCTACTCTAATACATTTAGATACACACAGAACCTGTGATTAATGAACACATCCAACACTTCTTCATAATTAACCAGCTCACTGGTCACCATTACAACCATTGTACTCTTTATTTAGTCCATGCACCTGCGCACTCTGACCAACTGGGACTAATATTATTAATAATAAAGTAATTCTACAGTGCTTATACTGCTAATTTGAACATGCTATGTTATTTAAAACAAATAACCGACCAGGTAGCTACTGTACATGAATACAAATAAAAGACAGGCTTGTTTATTTCCGATGAAATAGGTTAAATAGTGAACTGCAGTTGAAGTTAGCTATAATGCTAACGTTAGCTCAGGAAGGGCTCACTGGTTACCGGTTAGCTTGCTAACTTAGTTAAACTGTTATCTGGCGTTAATCATAAGGTGAATGTCCTGAGTCCTGTACAGGTGTAACATTAATGTGTTTATAAGTGCTGCGGACATGTAAGCACAGGGATATAATCTATGACTCGTTTACGTTTTGCATGTGGCTCGTTGGTCTAGGGGTATGATTCTCGCTTTGGGTGCGAGAGGTCCCGGGTTCAAATCCCGGACGAGCCCAATTGTTTTTTTTTTTGCTTTAAAACATATTGTTTGTACATTACGTAATACTTTATTGCACCCTTGTCGTATGTTCACCCTTGTTTTGTTGCAAACAATAGAATAACCGCTTAAAGGGTATTGTCTATGTAATACTGACCTCTTGTGGACTTTGGCAGTACTACACTTAGGGGTGTTTATTTCTTTCATTCTTTAATATGTAATTATGTAATAATTTATTTGCTGTATGTGTTATTTTCTGCACGAGATGCCTTTTCATCTACACCAAACAGATCCTTTAGTCCCATAAATCCAAGCTGTAGTATGGTTGCCAACCTTTTCATATGTCAAAGATATTGTGTCAGTAAAGTATAGTTTCCCCCTTTAATGTTTATATACAGTATATGATTTACCTGAATACAAGATGTTACCAGTTTAGATACAGGATGGAAAAAGGAAAGTAATGCACGCACTGAAGTTATTTGGGCCTGAGGCCTCTTTCAGTTCCTCTCTCCCTGTGAACAGGGAAGCTTATCACCTGAAGAGCTAAAATACATGCTTACAGATAAACACAGTCATATGTTCTGGGTCTAAATCACCTGCCTATACTTATTCTGTGCACAATCTGACTTCAGTGCCGTATGAGGAGCATCAGACTATTTAAAAATATGCTCACTTAATGCCTTTCTGTCTTCACCCAGTTGGGGCTTATCTGAGCTTGCTGTTGTGACAGCATCTCTGCTCCCTCCCTCCAGTCTGGCTCAGGACAGCCACTGCTCTGCTTAACACGAGTCCAGGAGATATCTCGGTAAATACCAGTTTCTTTCCCTTTCGGTTACAGCGGGCATATCATCGCCGCAGGAGCTACACTATTTTCATTATTTCCATAAGCCTCTTAGTGGCGCCATGCTCTGTCATTTTCACTGGATTCACACTGTGAAGTGTGTGAGTTTTTATATATTTTAAGTGCCTCTGTGCTCTGTTAATATGGAAAACAGTTTCTGTTCTGCTATGAATGAGAATGGAAGTTGTTGATAATTCACCGTTTTTAAATTTATCCCATTCCTCAGAGAGAAAGCATTAGACACGTCTTTTCATGTCTTTTGTTTATTTCCACTTTCATGGCAGCCACACGTTTCCTTTCATTTCACAAGCTCTGTTATAAAAATCTGCTGTTAACCACAATGTGAATAGACAACATATTCTGCTTTTATTGTATTGTTGTCATATTTACATCATCATTATGGCCAAATGCACTGCAGCTCTGCACAACAATAACATCCAGATTAAGGCCAAGTCTTCATTGCTGAATTTGTTTGAAAACCACATAAAAAAAATGTTTAATGGAGAAAAAAAAAAAAAAAAAAAAAAAAAATAGTAAATACCCTAAAAATGCTAAACCATGATATGGTCCTTTAAATATGAGAAGAAAAGAAAGTCCCTGTATATACACATTAATGGCCGCACCACCTTACAAATGCTTAATACTTAATTTTTAAATACTTTGTTAATGGTTAATTGAACATAATGCATATAGATCAGTAATATAGATGTAGCTCATAATTGTTTTCAGGTTATCAGCCCATGTTGAAAACTTCCATTAATGACCTACTGAAATGTATAACTATGGGCAAGTCACATTTATTAAATAGTTTTATTAATAGGCAGTTTTAAAAGGCAAAGCAAGCAGAGAATATTCACCAAACAAATTGATTCCTCACTTTAACTGCTCTAATCTCAAGTCATCCTCTTTATACCTGAAGGGACTATCGGATTTCTCTCAGTGTCTCACTGAATCACAGCAAATCGCTTCTCCCCAGTGATCAAGACAAGAGCCGAGTTTCTCTGCTTCCTAATTATTGTGATGGATGCCACTAAATCCTACACACTCGTGCTTTAACTAGATAATCAATCCAACTCTCTACTTAAAAATGGCTCATTCTCTTCTGAGCTCAATTTATGTCCCTCAAGGAACATAACAGATTGAATCATATTTGTGTGTTACACAGTCAGTAAAAGAGTCTACGGTTTATAGTACAATGTAGAAAATGGTTATAATGTCTAAAGAAAAACTAGCAGTAATATGATCATGTGTGAAGATGATGTTCGATCCAAATGTTAAAATCAGGAATTCAGACATAAAATGTGTAAAATGCATTGGAGCCTTGGTCAGACAAAAAAAACATGTCTTGCCCCCGGTTCAGTTTCCTCCTCCCTCCATCACCACACCATCATCACCCTCTTAACCAGTCTGTCATTTAAAGTAAGCAGCCGCCTGCTTAGCCGGCACCTTTCACTTTTCAAGCAGCACTTAATTTACTGCAGGACATTTTAAATCTCCTGCCTCCGTGGCACTGAGTCGCTGACAAATGCCTGGTTGCAAATGTATCTCATTGACTGCTGACTCGGTTGTATTACAAGCTGGCTGATAGGGGCTGCCACAGTAATGTGGCCCTCAGGTTTATCCTCAGATGTTGGAGGAAGTGTATTAATTTAGTTTAGATGGAGCCTTATGAAAGTGTACTGGCAGGCAGAGACGAGCAGATCTATCTCTCTCTCAACCTCTGGGGATTGAAGCTATCTGCCACACAGCTAAAGCATATTCCACCATCAATGTGTCAGGGGAAAGCTATTAAAACCGCTTTACTTTTCCTAAGTATCATGAGAATAAGCACAAGATTTTGTGAAATCCCCCCCAGAGCACTGAAAATCTAGGGGATTTTCCCCCTGAAATGTTTCCTAATGGACTGCTCAGAAGTGTCAGAAACTCTTGTTAGACTTGAATGTAGTTTTCGGATTTCAGTGCATGTATTTGGAGCTGAAATGACAAAATTTGAAGTATGAGTGCATCTGAACTTTCCACACAATCAGATGGAAACCCATTCACCAGTTCACTAGTATACAACAGTGGAGTGTGCACTCGGTGTAATGAAAGTGTGTATTCATACTGGGAATATTATAAAACGACAAACTGTGGGCCACATGTCCACATAAAGACCTTGGCTTTCATCTCATCAAGTCTGTCTCAAGATCTTATCTGTCAGTTATGAGAGTCTGTAGACTTAAATTTGTGTCAATAATTCATTATTTTTTCCCACTGTGCTGCTCTCTGTTTGACTCTGGATATTATAAGACAAGTGATGGCTCTGGTAGTACAGTGAGTATAATAGATCAACATTGTGAATTATTCTATTCATTTTTTCTTCAACTAACTCTTGAAAAACAAAGTAAGGCATGTAAGGAAAATGAGAAAGGACTGCAACTAACAATTATTTTATGACAAGTAATCTGTACAATTAATTCAATTAATCAATCAATAGTTTTGTGTATAAAATGTTAAAATCACTGTTTCCCTGAAGCCCAAGGTGACATCTGCACATTCCTTGTTTTATGCTTGTATTTTTCAAATGCCAAAGATATCCAGTTTATGATCACATAAGCCGCAAAGCAGCTAACTAAGAAGGTCGAACCAGGTAATATTTGGCACTTGTGCTTAAAAATATGATTAAACAATCATTAAGTCAATTTCCCCTCGCTGGATTTATCATTACAGCTGGATGCCATCTGGGCAGGGTCAACAATGGCATGTTCTCCAGCAGCCTCGCCTACGCTTACCACAGCCTTTTGTTCAGGGCTTTTTCAACAATAGAAGATGATATGCAAATAATCTATTCAGAATGTAATCTACTCTAAGTGAGTTTTACTGCTGGACCCTCCTGAGGAGCAGCCATTAAACCCAATATAACTTAAGTCAGATAATGCAGCAGAATCAGAGAACAACACTGTTGTCAAACACTTCAGCCGTTCAGAGAAAGAAAAGACATTTCACAAGATACAAGATACTTAATCAGCTCTGCCAAAAATGATTCAGTTAATCAATACAGTAAATTAGTAGGAAGCATTTTTTCTCCAGGGTGGGGTTGACTTGATAGATTCTTTTCTTGTCAGACGTTGGCGCACTCTCTCTGCCCGAGCGCCCCGGCCAGCATCTCTGTGTCGTCTTTCATTTCCTTTTCACCCCCAGGTCTTTCTGTACCTGTCAATTTCTTTCTACAGTGTGACTCCTTAATCCACCTGAGTGCATGGAGGACAGTTTTGACATAAGAAGAAAAGATAGACTCCTAAGGAGAGGAACAGTATCTTTAGAGCCCAGGGGATAACCGGATTACGACAGCCATTTTGTGCTGCTGGCAGTTTTTCTTATTACCCATTTTTTCCCCCCTCATCTCTCCAGAGTTGAAATGCTGCCCTTTCTTAGAAGTCACACCAAACACTGACTGAGTACACAAAAACACGTACTCTCTGAACTGAAACAGCTGAAAGAATAAAAATAAACCTTTAAAAATGATAGTAACAGTTTGCAAGAAACATATTTCTCCATACTGCCCTTCAGATACTCTCATGTTGCCATATTTCTTCTCACTGTCGAAGACTCTAAAACATGGTTCCTCTGTGGAAGTAATCATTGTCTCTGTGTGGCGGTGGTTCGCCTCCTGTGTGCGACGCCTGAACCTACAGCACTGTAGATAACAGCACAGCCACGAGGAGACAGATCAACTGTCTGACCCCTGCTGCCAATCACCTTATCCCTCCAGCCCGTCTGCTTCAAGGAAACCCAGAGAAAAACACTCCCTGAAAACGTCTTATCATCTCTACCCCAAACGGTGTGTGCACCACTGGACCTTTTATGTCCATTTATTTTGCCTTTGAAGAGGCCCGCAGTGCCTTTGATTGTGGGAGGTAAATGAAATAAAGCCCCCCTCCTCACTGGTACCCTGATATCTAAGTTTATCGCAGCTACCAAAACCTAAACCCAGAGCTCCAACTAACAGTCACAGGTTTGTCTACGGAGAAACACATCATGCTTCTGTCATGGTAATAATCCTTTTTGCAGAAGCCATTTTTGGTGCCTTTGAGGCAGCCTGGAAGCTTCCACTTAGACGCCCAGAAAGATAGTATTGAATTCCTCCTTGTAAAATGAGCTTCCTGAGTACATACTCCATAAAGTAATCCCCTGTTGTTACCTATAAGCACCTACATATTCCTCTGAGTAGCAGCGTACACATACAGTATGCCCTATATAATTTATATAGTTAAGTTATTGCTCAGGCGTTTCTCCGTCAATGTCATTTCAATAACAGACCAGATGGCTAAAGCATATATTTGATCAGATAAGGTGTAGTAATTATGAAAACTGTAACAACCAATGGAGTCACCCAGGGCCGGTGAATTATGGCTGTGATTAATATTGATTCTGTAGAGTATGGAGGAGGGAGAGGTGAGCCGCTTGCACACATATTGATGGATAAGAAACCTGCATGGCATCGTGGGAAAGAATTTAAATGAGTGATTGTGTCAGTTTTGAGGACAAGGTTTAAAAAAGTAAAATTTGGGAGTGATTTTGCAAGAAAGATGGAGGCAAAGTTTGGAGTAGAGTCTCCACTCACTGACCTTTAACCTATTTAATTTCATTCTGTTTCATGCAGGGCCACATAGGGTCACTTCTTCTGTATTTTGGGGGGAATTTAGCAGTTTAAGCAATTTGGAGGAGACCTTTTTTTCCCCTGGTTCCACAACTTTTTGACCGGTTTTCCACCAGGATTCAGAATTTCTCCCCAGGATTTTATTCTGGTAACTTTGAAACAACATTTAGACTTTCATGTTGGGAAATAAACCTTTATCTAACATTTTATTTTTTGGGTCAGTAATTTCCTAATAATTTCCTTGGAGGTTATCAGAAAAAATGATGTAACCATGGAATTGACAGTTGATTTAGTGATGCTGTTTTTCATTTCCCTTGAAAGAACCGCTCCGTTACAATGAAACATGCAGAAAAAAAAAAACAGTTAACAATGTAAAATCCAAGTAATACCAACATTTATAGACTTTATATTTGGGGGTGTGAGGTGCGTTAGGGGGTCACTGACTCATGACCTTTGTATTTTTTAAATTATGGCTACACCCCTTGTTTAAAGAGATGGTTTCACATGACTAAAACATACTACAAATTCTGCTGAGATCTTCTTAAATAATAATCGTTTTTAAGGAAATGAGCCATACAGCTCATTATAAGGCAATGAAGAGCAGCAGTGCAAAATGATTCCCATATTTTACTTCCATAGCCCTTAAAAAACCTTCTAATTTCTAATTTTCTGCTTCTGTGTTGTGCAGCAGATGACTTTCTTCACGTGTTTCCTGCCTGCCTCCACTTGTCTCCGTAGACATTTGCAGGGACTAAACTAGAGGGAGAAGGAGGGAGTCCCTCAGAAATGTTGTACAGTCACTTTTTGTGAAGGGATTACAGTGCTGTCTCTCATTCCCATTGGCTTGGCCCGCCGTGACAGTGGTGTGGTGATGGGGGGTTGACATGACCAGCATCATCCATAACAAGCTTCCAACTTGGTCCTCTGTGACTCCCATTCATGCGCCCAGGCATTGCGCTTTATGTACTTTTCCGGTCCACTTTGTGCAAATACTTTAGTCAATTTGGAGAAACAGTCTCTAGTATTTTCTTACCAAAGAGAGAAATTATTTGTTAACTGAATCTATCTTTGACACTTCTTCGCCACTTCTCCTTTTACGCACGAGAGGAGCATGCGCTTCTTGGAGAGGTTGACTTAATTTAGGACCGGTGTGTGTTTTATTAATTAATGTGTCACATTCTGATATGGCAAAACCTTTAGATCACATCAAAAGACCCATGAATGCCTTCATGGTGTGGTCCAGAGGCCAGAGGAGGAAAATGGCCCAGGAGAACCCAAAGATGCACAACTCTGAAATCAGCAAGAGACTCGGCGCGGAGTGGAAGCTGCTCTCCGACTCCGAGAAACGTCCGTACATTGACGAGGCCAAGAGGCTGCGGGCTCAGCACATGAAGGAGCACCCGGACTACAAGTACCGACCCCGGCGCAAACCCAAGAGTCTCTTGAAGAGGGACCGTTTCGTTTTCCCGCTGCCGTCTTTCCTCGGGGACGCAGCGGAGCACTTGAAGGGATTTGCCATGGACTCCTTCCTTGTCCCCGGAGATAAAGCCAGGGCTCTACTCGCTCCCTCCTCCTCCTCCTCCTCCTCGTCCTTCTCGCTGCTGGAGCCGGTGGCGCAGTTCAGCACCGGAGCTGTCCAGCGGATGGCGGAGATACCGCACGCCCTGGCCGCCGGGGCTCTGCCCTTCAGTGCGCACACGTTTGGATACCAGACTGGAGGGATTGGGGGTCTGGCTTGCCCCGGACAGCACACCCACACCCACACCCACCCGTCCCCTTCCAGCCCAGGATACGTGGTGCCGTGTAACTGCAGCGCCTGGTCTGCTGCCAGTTTACAGCCTCAGGTAGCCTATATTCTCTTCCCTGGAGGGATGGCCAAGAGCGGCATGGACTCGTACACTTCACCCAGCTCCAGTGTGTGACAGAGCGGACACACTTGAAGACGGAACGGGAAAAGTTTGCGCACAGGACCTCCCCATGTAACACAAAAGGAAAAGGAAAAACTGGGCTACAATACATTTGTTTATCCTATATCACAGCAAAACTGAGTATTATAGGCTAGTGTTTCCGCAGAAGTTAAATACATTTTAAAATGCCATAAAATGCTGAGCACCAAAAACACACTACAAGTCTCTATATTACTCGTTATTTAATTAATGCAGAGTAAGGACTTGGAGAACAATGTGCAGATGCTATTTTGTTACTCTTTTGACAAAGACATACATTTAAAACAGTTAGAAATACAATGCAAGAAATCAATGCATAACTTTTCTATATAATTGATCCAAATCAACAGGGGTGCTGACTTCTGTGTCCACATTAAAGTCAGATACACATACAGCTCTTATGGATATAAGAGGGCAGAGGAAGCCTGCAAGAGCCAAAGTGTTTCCTGACATTTTTATTTACCAAAAATGGCATTAAGTCTATATTTTGCACTTCTGATTCACACAGTCTTACATCTGGACAGTAGCACCTGTTTGTCCCCTCCTCAGTATGTAGGCCTGGTTTTTATTTGGAAGTGGAAGTAATAAATGTTTCCATAAATGTTTGTCTTATAACTGGAGTTTTTTTCTTTCAAAATAATCGTGTAAAGAATGTCTAAAAATGTTATATAAGTAGCCACATCAGTTTTGGATAAAAAGTCAGTTGCTGTTCAGTGAATAATGTTGGTGTGATCATTTTATCAATATTATACTTTGTATTTGGGATGATCCACATCAACTCTTAATATTTACTGACTGTCAATGTGGTAAATGTTTTTTGTTAAATGTCATTTTATGTCAGATACCAGTTGTAATAATAACTGGGGGAAGTTTGTTTTTATGTTCCTGGCTGCCTGAGCGCTCTTATTTAAACAAGCTAATCTCTTGATAAAGGGCACATCAAAGAATTACACAAAAAAACACATATAGATATAATGCAACAAAAAAACAACACAATTACATTAAACTTAAACAAAATTAAAATTTCCAGTCCCATCGTGTTTGGTAACTACTGTATGAGTTTTGTTGTGTGTCGGTCCGTGTTAGTGAGAGAGAGTAAGCCAACCTCATGATAAGAGAAGAATAGAAACTTCTCTCCTCCCGCGCTGTTGACAGAGTGATAAGCTGAAAAACTGAATCATGGGAATCGTATGAGGTGCTGTTTGTTTCAAAGTTAGTAAGAGGTAATGAGTCCTCTCACTGAAACCACTGGGTTTCAGTCTCGATGTAGGACATTATCAAACATACAACTGACCACAGGGCTTTACTAGATAGTACCCAGTAGAAATGCAACAGATGTCCTTGGCTGGACATGATCCGGGGACGCTGTAACTACAATGGTCAGCGGCCACCAGGACCCCCAGTCAGAGGGCTTTCACTTGACACCCTGGAAAGCCCAGGAGGGGAGACAGTTCTTAAGATTTAATGGAAAGGCTTAAAGCCAGCATGTTGTTGAGATTTCCTCTTTCTGTAGTGTCCTTGAGCAAAACACCAAACCCAAAGGTGCTGAGCTGAGCTTGACCTCTGGCCTCTCTGTGGATGTGAGAAAAGGTTTTACATTTAACTGTATGAACTTTTCTGTCCAGTATCACGTCTTAATCAAGAATCTTCACTTGTCAAGTGTGTTATTTTCTTCCTGTGCTGGTCTTCCTTGCTTTCTGGTAGTTCATTACATTAGACCTGATTGCGCGACACACTCATTTCTGACGGGTCTCTGTGTGTTTGCATGTTTGTCTGTGAGGATGTTGATGAGGTAAATTACTGCATCACGTACTCACTGACCAACCGTTGGCGGTTAATCGAAAGCAGCAGTGGAGTCAGTGATTCAGTTTCTCGTATTTACTTTTAAACAGTTAGTTCTCATTTAGGTACCAGGTGCGCCTATCACCACTGTGTCTACACCTCTGAACACAAGACGGCCCAACCCATGCAGCTGTATCACCCACTGGCTGAAACTCAACCGTCTCCACCCAAAGCCACCATCACTACAAAGTGCCACATTTCCTCATTTTCATTCTCTGCCCACACTCCGCACACCTGCTCACCTTTTACATATCCAGCTATACTTCAAGCTTTAGGCTCTTTATCTATTTAAACTGGGCACAAACCATCCTGCACACACACACTGGGGTTCTCAGGTACATTTCCTAACTTCTGAAGGAGCAAGCAACAATGGCGCCTTCAGTTCTCCAGAACGGTGGATTCATTTTGGGCTTGATTGGTGCAGCGGCCCTCATCGCAGCTACTGCCATGAACAAATGGAGTGTGAAGGACAGGCAGGGGGACGTGGTGACGTCTGTTTACACCTACAAGGGTCTGTGGCAGGACTGTGAGACGGCTTCCTCAGGATTCACCGAGTGCCGCCCGCTCTATGGCCTCCTGGGCTTCTCAGGTAGGAAAAATCATTCTTCCTCACATCTATTCAATTAGTTTTAGTTCATTACTGCTTTAATATTTAAACATGGCCAAACTGTGTCCAGAATTAGCCAACTTCACGGTCACGGCTTCAGCCCTCATGAGTTTTTCTTTTTAGGAAATTCAAATTCTCCCATTTCATTTCTTCTCTTATAAGATTCCTTGTTAGATGTTTGCTGAACTTTCTCTGATCACAGGAACATTGATGCAGAAGATTAAGGAAGTTGTGACTAAACATGATTGTCCAGTACCAGGGTTAGAAAGATGTTCTCTCACTGCTTGTCAAGATCCAAGATCGCCTAACTAGCTCTTCTCAAATTACAAAACAGGTTTACTGGTTAAGGTGTAGGAGATGAGTCTCTGGGGTACATGATGACAGAGGTCAACTCTTCTCTCTATCTGTCCTTTATATATTTGAAAAATATTACAAAAAGGATGATGAGATTAGTGTTAATTAAAGAGATTTCAACACTTTTAAGCACTAATTAAAAGTTAAACTCATTAAGGTGTTGAAGGGATACATCAGAGGATTTCAGAAAGGGAAGCCAAAAGAAAAAAGCCTCTCCTTGGTATGACTATCTAATGAAGAGATTCCCCAACTGTGGGGCATAGAGTCACTGCAGGCGGGACGTGGATGACCGAGGAAAGGGAATATGTGGAAAAGAAGTGGATTGAATGTGATTTATTTAGGGAAAATAAACAAAACGGGTTGGTGATGCGAATCTTCTTTAATTTTTATTGCACTAAAATTTACTTGGGTCCTTTTTTTTATTAATTTTGGTTGCCCTATCAATGTCAATTATTACTAAATATTGTTGGGTGTGGGGTGTGAACTTTTTTTGGTTTCTAAAAGGGGGGTATGATAGAAATAAATGTTTTAAAATCATTTTTACTCTCAGTTTCTGTTGTCCTTATACATACAAACTGTTGTTCCAGTGTCGAGCCCTCTCCTATCAGTATTTGCATTAGCACCAGTGCATTCTGGTCACTATAATGGACAACCGGGCCGAGACTTAGTCAACACAGTTATCACAAACAGAACAAACAACAAGCAAAGGGCAGGTTCCCTACAGCTCACCTACTGCAGGAGAACACAGATCACTGAATTAGATTAAGAGCTGTTGATATGATCCTCTTTGGAAGATTAAGAGGATTGAAGTCTTGCAACATGAGCTGAAAGGCTATCGTCAGACGCATGATTTATGTCACTAGTGATGCAGATTTTTATGCACTTGAGGCTGATTAGATACAATGAACTGATGGGTACATTTAGAAGTATCAGACTCAATAGAAAATGTCTCTGAGTATGTGTTTTCTGTCCATTAGGTGCCTTCCAGGCGGTGCGAGCCCTGATGATCGTGGGCGTGGTGCTGGGCGTCCTCGGGGCTGTGATATCAGTTTTCTCCCTGACCTGCCTCACAATGAACAGCATGGCAGAGTCCACCAAGGGCAAGATGAGCCTCACCGCTGGCATCATGTTCATCATCGCTGGTATGGTTAGAAATAACAAAATCTATGAGCACATCAGACAGGAAGTTCATTTGTGAGTTGGTGGAACAAAGAAAAGTAAATAAAAAAATGTCTCTGCACTCTTCTCTCAGGTGTGTGTGGCATCGCAGGAGCTTCTATCTACGCAAGTCAGATTGTGGCCAGTTTCAGGATGTCCACCTACAACAACTACAATGGAGGGATGGGTGGAGGAATGGGTGGAGGAATGGGTGGAGGAATGGGAGGAATGGGAGGAGGAATGGGAGGAATGCCCACGTAGGATATAACTTTTATTATTAGTTTTGCTTCATTCATTCATATTCTCCATATTATTACCGTGCTGGACCTACGTTGCATCTTGTTTTGGCTGAGTTGTGTGGTTTGTCCTTACAGATACACGTTCGGCCCTGCACTGTTTGTAGCCTGGATCGGAGGAGGCGTCCTGTTCATTGGAGGCATCCTGAAGTCACTGGCTTTCAGAGAAATGGTGAAAGATGAAAAACCGAGGTGAGTCCAAATAATGATTTAAAAAGATCTAAATGTCTTAAAGTCTGAAGGCCCACATTTACTGGTGTCTGTTGATTTGTTTTGGACTGAAGAAGATACCGAAGATACACCATCATATAGAATTACCTTAACTCCATGTGTTGCCTCTTGTGTTTCAGTTACCCAGGGGTTGTTTACAAACCTCAGACCCGCACCAAAACCGACCTGAGTGATCGCCATTCAGAGGGCGGCAAGAAAGAGCAGAATTATGTCTAACAACTTGTGTTTGCTAAGGCGTGTCCTTTTAACTCTTCACATGCAGCATGCTTTGTGGGATGTTTTTTTTTTTTAGTTGCCTTATATACGGATTCAATACTACTTCTTTACTATTTGATATTGAAGTCAATAATAGTCTCATCCTGACAGCAGTTCACTAGGTGTAATAACAAAGGATTTGTGGCAAAATATTTAGTTTCATGTGTACATCTCAGTGGTTACTAGATATTTATAGATGCTGTATGTAATTGAATCTTTTTCTACTTGAGTTTTGTTAAATCATTTTATTTTTATGTTAATAAAATTGTGATTAATGAAATATGGGTTCCAAGTGGTTTGAATTACTCTTAACAATATAAATTGTATATGAGAACATACCTCATTATTGACAAGTGTATATATGAATATATATATATATAGAATTAAAGACATTTCAAAGGAAGATGCAGTTATATAGTAATGCCCTTGGTTGAAGTCTAGCTACTGTATCTGTAGCCAACGTCTGCTATATTTATCTACTTAAATATATTTATTTTACTCAGAAAGAAGCTTCAACATGCAAAGTAAAAACAAAAGTTACACTATCTCACAGTGTTGATCCAGTCTGGTGGTTGCATGAAAAAAACAGAAAAGAAGCCAGAGATGGTAAATCCAGGCCACTGTGTCACTTAAGGTGATACCATGTATATTTTTGCAATGTAATTTTGTATCCAGAACTTTCCTGCTGCAAAAAGAGAAGAATTTAGTTCCTCTCCCCTTTCAGAGAATCCCTGATAAAGAAATGGACCACACCTACTGTCCAAAGGTAAATGTAATAAGGTAAGGAGAACTTTAAAGAATGTTTTTTTAATTTTAAAGGGAACAGAGTTTAAGAAAACAGGGTCAATATTTCTTGCAAGTATTGATATTGGTGTAATAAACCACAGAGATATATTTTAGGGCTAGTTTCAGCGATACGGCTTGCAATTTAAGGCTACAATACAAATTTGAACAAACCACTTACTGTGTTTTTCCCTTTGTCAACTTGCAGTCAAGGATCTCACCTGTCACAGCACTGAGCTGCAATTTCTTTACAAACCACTAGATGTCAGCAAATTCATCTCTTTGGTTTTAAATAAGTCTGAGGCAATGCACCTACAGTACAAACCTTCATATGCACTTGAAGAAAAAAAAGATGAATGTGTTATCATACATTTATATTTTCCATTAGGAAAAAAAAAAAAAAAACTATGGACAGAAAAACCATCAGAGACTTTGTTTATTGTTGCATATTTAAACAGTCACCTCACTCGCTCAAAAACAAGCATTCAAAATAAATCCAGTTTCTCTTCAAAGCAGAAGATGCCGAAAACCACAAACATACATCAGACCTCACATCCCAACACTGGTTTACTGTGAGGTCTTCACCAACGTGTGCCACAGCAAAGACGACTGCATTCGGAGAGCAACTAGGATTCATTCTCACCACTAATCCCATCAGTCACAATGTTGAGCGTTATAAAAAAAAAACAATTATACAAGAATATCGGACAAAGGGTGGACAACAAAACAGGTCATGATGTGCATTGTTTTTAAAACCTAAGGACCCACTTTGAGCCATGATTAATCTGTAATGGTGATCCTTATTTCAGATGTGCTGCCCGGCTGGGCTCCGTGAAGGTCTTTTCACACCCTCACATAGTCTCACAAGTTATTTGGTAAAATTCAGACAAGAAATTCATGACTTTCAGATACAAAAACAGTCATATAGAGCAGTGATTTAACAACCATCTATCAAGGCCAAGTTGTGTACAAATTGGTATATAACTAAACAGTTAGTTCACACAAACTACAAAAAATGAATTCTCACTTTCCCATACTAGTCTCTAGCCACTTAGATAGTTTGTTTTAATCTGCTCAAGTTTTAAAAAGATCTGACCATTTCAGGCCACAACCTAAATACAACGGAGGTAAGCGCATTTTTGTTTGTGGTGGTCAAAACACTGGAAACAATTTGATTTACAGCTACAGATCTTCCGAAAAAGTGTCTGTTGATCAGTTTCCATTGGTACCATTTCTTCAGTAAGAGAAGAAATAGTCCCAATGAGTTAGCTGGTTAATTTACAGTAAATGTCATTTTTCAGCACGTTGATCACCACAAACAAAACTGCACTGAAGGGGTGACGCAGAAATCAGAGACAGATATCTCACAACCTTGGCACTAGAACTGAAAATATCTGCATGGCTAGATCCCACTAGAGCTATTGTAATTTGGGTGAACCTACCCTTTAACTAAAGACTAAAAACAAAAAACGTTGGATTCTCGTGTCTATATCCGATCTAATTTCTCGCTCAGGAACTCCTCCACGCTGTCTGTGTTCCACTTGAGGATGCTGAGTTCTTCAGCGATGTTCCCGTTATCGTCCAAAAGCTTTAGTACAGGATCTGAGCCTCTCACATACTGCAGTGTGGGAGGGGGTGAGTGGGAAAAAGAAAAAGAGGAGGAGTGTTAGGATGGCAGGTTTGTCCTCAATACAAATGAAAAAACATTCAGAGAAATGTTTGTGAGTGAACTGATTTATGTTTTTTCCAGATGAAGCTTAATGTGTCTAATTATGAGATAATAGCAGTCATCATGCCACTACATCGTCAACACAATTCATCACCCCTACCTTGATCTGAAGACCCTTGAACAGCTTCGGCTTTTCACTCCTGACAAAAGCTGCGGAGATAAAAACACCAGTAAGACAAATGTCTGGCAATGAATCAGTAAATTAGCATTCCTATTTTAGTACTGAGGTCTGTAATTAGTGACAACTGCAAAACCTCCTGAGAATGCAGCGTTAACAACAGCGGAGACAGTTGAGAAGACGGGATGGCTACAGCTGAAGTAAACAAACGACAGCCATATGGCACAGACGGGGCCTCCAGAAGTCTACCCCCATACTGAGGCGAGCTGCAGTATCTCCATCACTGTAACCTGACACTGAATTAACCAAATGTTGCACTGAGCAGAGATGGGAGGTCTACTCCCAACACACAGAGGATAGGAAAACTTCAAAAGCTCGTTTGAAAGTCGGCCCTCCGGCATTTTAGACCACCTACTGCTAAAAGTGATTCAAAGGGATATATTTCACACCGATGATTGATTAAGACACAGAATCACAGAGAGCACAGGCTCAGTTTAAGGAAAGAATTGCAGCTGTATTTCAAAACAAGATGATAAATATGAGAGTATAATCACGTCCCGATAGAGAACTCACCTTGGACTTGGGGGAACCTCCCCAATTTTCATCCACACACCTCGAGGATGGCCCCAGCATAAAGCTGTGTGCAGAGAAACACAACGTTAGGTAGTCCATAAGGACACACACACACACCTCAACGCCCGCACACAGAGACAGAATGGGTCGTGGCCCTGCTGGTGGTAAGACGACTGGCCTGAGTAATTTGATTCAGGCAGGCTGATTCATAAACGTGTCCAGGCGACTCCTTGTGGGTCATTAAACTGTGAGCCTGTGCATATGGAGCAGGGCTGATGGATGGCGGTTTGTGCAGGGCTCACTTGTAATCAAACTTCCAGCACCAATATACAATAAGTTAGAGGAAATTGGAGTGTCATAGCAGTATTTCAAGACCATGCTCTGCTCGCCATTTCAAGGAGGAGAGTGGTAAAAGGCCTGGTTGGCTGGTTCACACTGCAAATCAAATTACGCATGCAAAGCTAAGATCCTATCCTCTTCCTCTTTTCCCCTGTCTTCTGTAAACAATTCAGCACTGCTGAAATTAAATTTCCGTGCTTTTCATTTGACCACACAGATCAGAGACAAGTCACGGCTTTGCTGAGAACAGGAAACTAGGAAACAAATGAAAAGGCCACTCTAACTGGACTCACTGGAGCATTTTAACATTTCAAGATGCTGCTAATAAGCTAATAATCCTGTCTATTAAGGATTTCAAAACCAAAAGTGGCCACGCAAAGTATTACCCTATCAATTACCCTTTTTTTTCACATTTTAATGCTCTTATCAACATGGAAAAGTGGATCGGCTTGCTTTGTGCAAATGTTGTTTTTATTGAAAAATCATCCATTGTCGCCTGGCTTTGACATGGGGGGCGGAGAATTCGCATCAGCTGTGTGCTTGGCCATCAAGTGGTATTTCAGACTGGACGTGCTGCGATGATAGCTCAGTTCACAACGACAGAACACACAGATCATGTTGGTCTTGTCAATGGAACCATTTGGAAACTTTTTAAAAGTAAACTTTCCATTCAGAATATTATTGGCATCTGTTTCGGCATCTCGCGCTCACCATCCACTCAAAACGTAACGTCTACTACTCTTAAACAAGTGTGTACGGCATGCCTGTTGTTTTGTTTCCGGTCTAGATAGATCTGGTGTGGTGTTGTAGTTTTTCTAACGTTACTAGTTGTTGCAACAACATGTGAAAAAAACTACAAAGTGTGCTAGGCCAAAAAGAACGTTAATCTCGCAATAAAAAAAATTAACGCCGTTAATAACGCGTTTAACTGACAGCACAAATTTATAACTAATGTAGGAGTGTCAATAAAATAATTAATAAAAGATAAATGTGATAAATGGTTCTGATGAAATTTAATCAACAGGTTACATCCTTATTGACTTTAGAAAACGACGACTTTAAATGCCAATTCAAGTTGGTTTAAGCGGTTTTCTTTCTTCCAAAATCATGAAACAACATTTTTGGTGTAAGATTAAAAGGATTAGGCAGGCAGGGAATTTTACATTTTTTTGTCACCATGAAAACACCTAAACTAACAATGTGCTGGCCTATCTCAATAATGCCCACTGGTTCCACTGGTACATCTTTAAAAAACAGGTCACACATGTTAGAGTTTCATTTTCATTGGATTTGCTGACACTAAGAAAAACCAAACTTATTCTGTAAGGCATAAAAGCGTCTCTTGTTTTTCTTCTCTTCGACTGTACTGGCCTGAGAGACTCCCAGGAAGGTTTTTTTCTGCTCTACAGAGACACACTGTATGGTGGCACCCAGGGGAGTTAAGGTGCTGATATGTGCAGGTTGCTCTGCAGGGAAGCACACGTTTGAAAATGAATAACTGAAATGCCCTCCATGCTCACTGAATCATACTAATCGACTAGGCTGCGCAATAAGCCATTTCTCAGAAGGTTTAATGACACGGCACTGATGTCAATTGCAAGACTGAAAGAATTTTTAAGGCAGATAATTGTTGCTGTCTGAGGAGAAAATGTGCTTAGTGACACTGTCGTTTCTACTGGTACCCTCAGAGTGCAGCTGGAGACAGCCAATTGCTCTTCTAAGTGACATTTTCACTCAAATTGTGAGGAGGAAGAGGAGTAATCTTTCCTTTAAGTGTCTGTCTGAAACAGAGTTATCATCAAGGTGTAATGAGGTGTGCGCTACCCTTTTCCAAGGTGCTGTTGCTAGGATACCAAACACGCTCAGGGGGCTTTGCTTAATCAAAGAAAAATTACGCTGTTTTTCCACCATCACTTGACTCTGTGTTTATCCGTCAGAGCCCAGCAGGGACTCCTTTTGAATTTGCTGTAATCACCGGAGCAGTGAGCGCACAGTAACACTTCCTTGCTGGTTATAGAGAGGTTGTTAATGCAAAACATGACACTTCGACCCCATGGGGAGTGTCAAACTGGGGTTAAGGAGCCTCGACTCTGAAGATCAGAGAGAAAGATTGAGACAGACAGCTAGTGACAGAGATTGTGTGTGGCAGCTCCGATCTGATGCACAGCTGCAAAGAGTGTCAACAGACCCAGTGACAAGGAGGCTAGAACTAGGTTGTTTTTAGTGGCAGTTCAAATACTGGGAGATGTTATCCTGTCAATAAATGTCACACATTCTGACACGGAGGTCCTCTGAGTGCTACAACTATCCACTGAGGAGCCTGTCTGCTGTGAAGCTCAGGAAATGACTAGAGACAGCCGACTGATCAGCTCAAGACCACACAATAAACTATCTGTTGCACGTCATCAAATTTGTCAAGTCTCAGTCATAGAGCACAAAACAGTGAGTTAATTATATCACTTTCTGCATGCGCCTTTTGTAAGCCCTGCTTCTGGTTACACTTCCTGTTCTCACTGAATCTCCTTTTATGAAGGTCTTTGTAACAAGCCCCTTGCTGTGACTGAATCTAGACAGGGAATTACTTCCTGTTTGCCAGTTCCATTAGCTCTGTTGTTGTCTTTACCTTGCGTGCTTCCATCTGGGCTTCCTGCTGGCAGCACTGCCGGCAGTCGGGCTGCAGCTTGGTGAGGCTGAACTCCCCGAGCAGGTCACAGGAGCTGCACAGCAGGTTGCTGGAGAAGCCCAGCTCCCTGCACGCCTCAGACGACAGGTCGGCGCCGTACGCTGACAGCTGGAGAGAGGAAGGACGGGATAAGACAGGAAAAAGATAAGATAGAAAAAAACTTTATAAAGTGCTTACTTCTCATATGAGGATAAAAGAGTATCATGTTACTGATAAAAAGCCTGAAATTATGAATGGAGATTGTGGATAACTGTTTTTTAAAACAGAAATAAACTCCTGAAACAAACACTTTATTATTGAATTATGTGATGTGACATCTCAGTTTGTTTGAGGTGCTCTCCGGATAAGGATACATTCTGACACAAACAAAAAATCAGAAGAAAACTCCAACGCTCTTTTAAACAATACAATACATTTTGTAATATTCTTATTGTTATAAGATTTATGTACACTGTACTCATTTTACTGCACTATATTCCCCAATGCTGCTATGGGGATTAATAAAGGTATATCTTATTTTAGCTTATCTACAAATGCCTGTATTGTCACGGCATGGGCAAGTTAGACCTAATAACAAATTCAGACACATTACGGCATCAAAACCCAACTCCCTGAGGAAAGCATAATGCTGAAGTGTATAATGCATACATATAATGTACAAAATGTGTGTTGAATTAATAAAAAAATAAATATTATGACAGTCCCAATTTACTGAAGGCCTCAGTTACTGTAGTATTTAAGTAGTGTGACCTACAGACAGAAAGAAAAGGTGTTAATTTGATTTGGGATGTAGGAGAAAAAACTATTTATTGGCAGCTATTAAGCTGGAATGAACAAATGTTTGGCATTTTCACTGGATGACTGATCTTATTTATCAAAAAGTTGACTCAATTACCTTCTGCTGATTGACCTAATTATACATAAATAATTTCAGCATGATTTTGAGGTACAGGAGAAGTTACTGTCTGGTAGGAATGTAAGTAAACAGGTTAATTAACATTAACAGGATGTTTCAGTCTGAGGTGTGTTCATCCTCTTAACTGCTAAAGATTTAATGTAACCCTGCTGTAACAAAAAGTCCTGGTGGATAACAGAGGACTCAGCTGCTTTTGGAGCAAGGTACTTTGTTTTGTCAGCTTTTTCTTGACACGCAAGCTAATAAAGACTTTACCAGGTAGATTTAACATAATCTGTTTTCGCTTTCAGTTATCAGGAAACCAGTGTGACACCCTGTAATATACACCCTTCGTCAATACGGTTCCCATATAACTCAATATTGTATTAATATTTGGACTAGTTTTAAGTGTTTGTGGTTCATTTTACTGAACAAGGAACAGACGGGATAAGTCCATTTACAACACCGGAAGTCTTGGTTTAACGTTGTATTTCTTTCTTCCTCCCTTTCTCTCTCTCTTTCTCTCCCTTTCTCTCTCTCTCTCCCTCTCTCTCTCACGCTTTGACACACCAATGGGTTTATAAAAGGTAAAAAATCAGCTCAGAAACAACCACAGAGGAGGTCTGGTGATAAGCCACGTCATGTTGACGCTCTGGTAAAGCGGGATGCGGCTCTCACACACACACACACACACACACACACACACACACACACACACACACACACACACACACACACACACACACACACACACACACACACACACACACACACACACAGAAGATAACGTTAGACAGCTGATAGCTCCTCCAACCGTCTATGTGCAGTTTAAATCCCTCAGTAGCTGTTCAGCGTTAATAAACTCACCGTCTGTAAGAGCGAGAGGAGCCACAGGAGATACACCTCTCCCGACATTTTGGATCCTGCTTTATTAGAGACAGCTACTCCGAGGACCCCTTTATTTACAGAAGGGCTGCCCACTTGCGCCTGACCGTTAACCCTCTTAACTGACTATTTATTTTCTTTTTTAATGTTCAACGCTTCCTGACATAACGCCATTCATATGGGTTGTATTAACATTCCTACAAATATGTGGAACATGAAGAAGAATTTAATTTAGTTGCATGTTTCTTGAGTTTTAAGGCATATCCCAAGGTCGACTCCCACTTTCTTCCTCGCCGCTGCCGTTGAGGTGGTTTCCAAACAACTGCGACATCTGCTGCTCGACTTCAGGTCTGTTTGTGAAAATGGTCCAATCCGGTTTGAACAGACAGTGGTTGTCGACGAATAGAGAGCCTTCACTGTGTTGTGGACTGTTGTTACATCCAATGGACAGGGTGGTACTGGTAATAGCCTGTCCGCGGTGCGGTGGTGAACACACTGGATGGGACAGGACAGCGCTACATGGGGGACGGAGGCGACAGCGGCTGGTACCAACGCTCCTACACCCCGGAGAGACAACCCCGCACTCTGGAGCAATCTAGGGCTTTACGACGCTCCGATATCGGGAATTAACTCAATGAAATAACCAAACCGAGCATGAACGCATCGCATTTGAGGTAACCAGAGGATTTGAACAGTGGGAGACACACACATACACACACACACACACACACACACACACACACACACACACACACACACACACACACACACACACACAGAGGGAGAGAGGGCCATGCACAGACACTCAGCCGCTTTGTAATCACCGTCGTCGCCGTGTGTGTGTGTGTGTGTGTGTGTGTGTGTGTGTGTGTGTGTTTTTTTTCAGTCTCTCCTCCTCCGAGCATGGACTGACCAAATCTCTCTCTGGATGATTTGATGGGGCTGCTCAGAGTCATGATGCCGCCCAAGTTGCAGCTTCTGGCGCTGCTGGCGTTCGCAGTGGCCATGTTCTTCCTGGAGAACCAGATCCAGAAGCTGGAGGAGTCCCGGGGAAAGCTCGGTAAGTTTAAGGGGCTGCAGCCCGATCCCGTCCCCGCCACAGCGCTCCAGGAGCACCGCGGGTTGTGTGTGAGGTCTCTGTGTTGGGTCAATATAGAAATGTGCACCACCATTGTTGTGCATTTGAGTCAATAAGAAGCAGTGTGCTGAGATGAGCAGCACTTCATCCACCACTCATGCTTCCTCATATGGACAATGGCACTCAGTCATGAAATATGTAAAGCTCAGAGAGCCGCTCTACTGAACTCTTCACGACTGTGAGGACACAATTTTGAATTATTGTGAGTATTTGTAGAAGATCACAGATAGTGTCAACCTGTCATTCTGATCTGTGCTGCTGTCCTCAGCCTGTGGCCCTGTGATAGTGTGAGTGTTTGTATACTTTAGGGCTTTATTATTGATTAATAAGACTTTCTGGATTAAGTGATAGATTGTTTGGTCTGTTCACTGTCAGAAACCACTGTTTCTTAAAGCCTAAAGGTGAAGTCTTTGTCTTTTTGCTGAACTACCAGCACATGATTAAGCAGCAAATCCTTACATTTGAGAAGCTGGAGCATGTTTGGTGATATCAATTAACTGATCATAAAAATATTAGTTATCAGATTAACTTTCTGTCAGTTGATTAATTGATGAAAATGCTCATTTTGTTCAGCTCTAGTAAACTTCATTTGTAAGTAAGCAGGACATGTAATATTGGAGCCGGTGCTTCTGGAGTCGGGCTGAACGGTGGGAAGGTCACTGATGATGAATGTGCGGTATATTGATGTGCATTGTTAGTGGTATTCTGCATGCTGGGGGACGCCACCCTGCTACAAATCCTCTCCCGCCCCTTGACCAAACTGACTGAATCGTGGCCGGTGCTGCGTTCAAATCTCATTGCTAGCTCCCATCAGGGGCTCCGTCCCAATAAAGATCTGGGACATTGCAGGATTATCTCTCTGGTGCCTCCACTGTGGGGATTTTTTTTAAGGAACAGCCGAGCGGTGCAGACAACCTGAGGGTGCAGCCGGCGTACCTCAGGGGCCCACACACCACCTCTTGTACCATTTGACGAGAGTGGGAGCCTGGCACTGAACAGAGGCAGCCAGCAGGCAACGAGGCAGACATTTTGATATGTTCTAGCAGAAAAAGCACAGGTGTAGTTAATAACATTATGTTGCTGCCATGAATTCCATTTAAGTGAGGCAGCCCTGTTATTGAAATGGCTTACAGGGACACTTAATGGGACAGAGGAATCATTAATGTTATTAGTAACACCTGTGTGCTCTTCCTGCTATGACGAGTCAAAATGTCTGCTGTGAAAGAGGTCTGTCACATTTTAACTGTTGCCTTTCTGAAAGCCTCTGCACACCCACACACACGAGTGTCATTCTCGGTGATGTTGGGTCTATCTGTGCTCGGAAATATGAGGTCATCAAATGCTGTGTATTGATAAGAATGACGAAGCTGCAACAAAACTAACTGGAGAGTCAGCAAGCTGTCAATCAAACACCGGCTGCACAGACTCAAACAGTTAGAAGTGCTCTGATTAACCAACATAAGTGAAAACACCTTAATTAATAATAAACTGTCATAATAAATATATAATAAATGAAATAGTAGACTGCAGGACAAAGAAAACATTTGATGACATCCTCAAGGCATCTAGGAGGTTTTTTGGACTAAACGATTGATCGAACAGTCGAGAAAATAATTGGTAGTTTAATCTAAAATGAAAATATAATTTGTTGCAGCCTAATTAAATTTACAGTGATATCAAAGATAAATGACCATGTTGGTGATCAAAACTGTTCGATTCATTTTCTGTTAATTGATTGATGACGAATGGACTCTTCAGCATTAGACTGGATAAATAACTTGAATGAGTAATCGATTACAAGGCTTAATTTTATATATCGACTGTCTGACTAAACGATTAATCAGGACCTCAGATAGTTGATGTCATGCCATTTACTATACGGAGCTGCAATGATTAGGAAATTGGCAAGACTTTGATAGTTGAGTAATTGTTTTTGTCATTTTTCAAGCAGAAATGACAGTAAGTTGTTGACTTGTTGGAGCTTCTCAAATGTGAATGTGCTGCTTTTCTTTACGTTATTAAACTGAATATCTTTGGGTTTTGGACCGTCCCTCAGGCCAAACAAGGAATTCGAATATCTCAGCTATAATTTGGGTAATGCAGATTTCACTATTTTCTTTCAGCGTCTAAACTAACAGCAAATTAAGCAACTGTGAAGCTAATTGTTTTAAGTTCAAAACCACCGATCCCGAGGCTTACCGGTAGGCGAGTAATAGATAGATGAGTCAGTGATGAGACTGTGCTGGGAAGTTTCCAGACCAGATTGTAAATAAAATAGTTAACAACCATCTTAATTGCATAAAGCATCCCAGCTGAGTTTTCACATGTTGGAACAATCAGGAGTCCTGGGGATATAGATGGCTATATTAGCCTGTGGCATGCTTTACTGCTGCTGTAAAGGGCTATACTTTACACCCAGTGAAAATCCAAACTCTCCTGAGCTACACACACACACACACACACACACACACACACACACACACACACTCTCCCGATGCTGAAACAGAACCTGAGAGGCCTTTCCCCTGACTGCCCACCACCACGAGAATCTGTTGACTTGGCAAAAAGCGCCCTGATGGATGACTGGACTGAGCAGACGTCTGTATACTGGAGCTCTGAATTATGTGCTGCATAGCCAAATAGTTGTGACTGAGGCTTTCACAGGCACGATGCTGACAGACAGCCGCAGGGCCGGTCACATTACCAGGTACGCCTGCTGCAGGTCCATCTGTGCAATCATAAAAACCTGCATTACAACCATAACAATGACAGTAGGTGTCCAAAACCCAAATTAGATCTCCATGAACGACTCCAATGTGACAAAAGAGAAGAAGTTCTGTATGTCAACTTCCTGTATCATGTTCTCACATGTTTCGCAGTTAACTTCATGTGGGTTGGAATGACCGTCGCCCTCTCCTCGCAGCGTGGGATCCTATTGCCTGACACGCGTTTGAATCACTTCCCCTATTAGCCACCTCCCGCAGGGCAGACAAGCTGTGATTTGCTTCCAAGCTAATCGTCATCCCAAGGTTTCACTGAGAAGTCTCCTGCATTACAATCACGCCGTGATGCAGCTGTGTGTCCTGCTGTGGGCCTAATCCATTATTCTGACAGTATTTTTCTCCGGCTGCTCACCGCCACTGCTGCCGGCTGGGTCAACAGTAATGCAGGCTGACTGCGCAGGGAGGGATGGATGGAGGGAAATAGAGTTTCTTTAATAAAGAGCCACAAACGGGGATTCAAGGCCACTTTCCCTGTCAGGGTTACCATTAGCTCCCTCTCACTTCAGGCAACTTCAGACTCTCACCTTGAAGAGTTTCTGGCTACTTTATTCTGAGACTAAGTTTGAGACTGACATTTCTGCCTAAGGTTTCATTGACATCAGACAGGAGATGAATGCCTGATTTAGATTTAATGGCGATTAGATAACCAGCCGAGAAAATTTGATTCAGTTGGTTAAAAGTGAGCCCAGATTAATTTTCTCAAGGCTGTACTTTTTAAATAGCACTTAAAAGGCTATAAACAGAAGGATTTTCTGGAAAATTATTGTCCTGTCAAAGTAAAAGTATGTAAATTGTATCAGAATTAGGGCCCGGTTGAATAATTTGTACTTGCCAAAACGATGAATATCTCACTGCAGGGTATCGTGTGGGCATCTGCAGGACTTTTCCTGGGAAATTTATTCAAATAATAGAATTTCCTCCTTTAATCTTTTATATGTGCACATTCATTTGGCACTGATTGTTTTTTTTAAGTGCAAAGCTGACACTTGATGAAGCTAAACTCAAGACGGTAGGATGAGCTATCGTGTCCCTTCAGAATAAACTCAGTAAAGAGTAAAAGAGGGATTGAAACAAAGAAGTGTAATGATTCCTTTCTTTTCTGTCTGAAAGCATGTTCATTACACAGTTGAGTGCATCATTATTTGTGTAACATCTGTCCTTGCTACCTGCTTTTATAGATTGAAGCCATGCTGCACTTATTTCCTCAGGGAGAATATTCATAAACACGAAGAAAACCTTTCATTTCATTGTAGGAATCCCAGCTTTTGAGCCGCTTTTTGACCCTTTTTCATGCTTAAAAAATCAGTCAGTAACAGCACTTGTAGCCATAGGTGGGAGGTTAATTCCAGGGGTCATCTATGTGATATGGAGAGCTGCGTAAATAGAAACGTTGCTTATTAAACTGTCACCTCATGGCCTGCGTAACCGGAGCAAACGACCTCTTCACCTCGCTGCCCCACAGGCCATGCGAGTGCTGTGTGTCACCTAGCTGGACAGATATTCAAAGACTTTTTTTTTTTTGTTTTTTTCTCCCTCAGCATTGCTGCCTTTTATCCACTGGCCGTTATTCAGCCTGATTAAAGGAATTCAATTTCCATCTGTTGCGTGGTGATATTTAGTTCCAGACACAAGCGGCTCTGTGATGAGCTCTGAGAGAGAAGAGAGGTGCTGTTGAATGCAGAAGAAGGACGGGGATGCATGCGCTCATTGTCGAAGTGTTTGCAGAGCCTGACGCAAGACTTTTAAGCATTCATTTGTCACTGCAGCTCCGTCGCCCTCAGGCTTGGGTTTGAATTTGACTTTGATTGTCATGCCAGGCACTCGCTGCCTCGAGCCCACCCTCACGCTCTGCCACCAAGGGACCTGGGGATCTGGTCAGGAATTTGCTCTTGAAAGGACTTTGGTTAGGCATCGCTTGTCTGTCCTCATGTGCACACTGCATGGACTTTGATGAGACGACTTTATACCTTGGAGCTGGCCTGCCACTCACTCAGACCCCCTGCTGCATGTCTTTCACCCGGCGCTGATAAGACCTAGGGCTGCATTTGCTTTTGAACATTTTTTTTTTTATTGATGATCTAAGCATCTATCTGGTTCCTTTCACTCCTACACATTTGTCAAGTGTGTGTCAACTGGTGT